GATTTTGTTTTCCCTTAATAATAAAAACCTTCATTTAAAAACTGCATGTTGTGTTCACTTGTGTTATCTTTTACTAATATTTAAATTTGTTTGATGATCTGAAACATTAAAGTGTGACAAACATGCAAAAAAATTAAAAATCAGGAAGGGGGCCAACACTTTTTCACACCACTGTATATCTAATATTCAATGAATTTTTGTTGCCAATATATGATTAATTCATTATTTTTCATATTTTAAATGTTATTGTAAAAATAAACACAGGTTTATTAGATACCACTCACATTTTCTTCAGAAAATGTAGTTATGTATTGTTATATTGGTGTATATAAATAAAAGGGATTGAATAAATTATAATACTCTACAGATGAAAAGTCTGAAGTCAGTATATTTTTTGACAGAAATTAATACTTTTATTCAGCAAGGACACGTTAAATTGATCAAGTGCCAATTAAGATATTTATAAAGTTACGAAAGATTTATATTTCAAATAAATGCTGTTCTCTTAAACGACCCAAAAATTTATAAATCAATAAATAAAACTATCCAAATCTGATATTGTACGCCTACTATTCTGTGTTATTGTCATGATTTTTCTAGATTAACTTTTGCTGCTAAATTATCCACTAACCTAGTTTATAATAGTATTTTTGTCATAGATTATGATCAAATATATTTTTCATTAAAATGAAGTTGTCTGTATTTAGCAGATTGTGTTCAACACACAAAAGATTGACGATCAGGTCATCAAAGTAGTACATAAATTCTACAATGCCTAGTTGAGAAAAACTGTGCTGGTATTGGATCGTATCGGTATCGGCCAATAGAATTTTCTGGATTGGATCAGATCGGCTCTGAAAAAATGGTATCGTTGTATCCCTAGTTTTTGCTATTTTAGTACATCAGGTTGAACTACATTAAAATTAGAAATGTTGCATTGGTAATGAGTTATAATAAAACATTTATTTTATTTTATTTTACGTTTACTTAGTCATTTATTTATTTACATGTTTATTTATTTATTTTACGTTTAGTTTCAGTTTTAGTTGACTAAAATAACTTCACCTTGGTGAGCCTATGAGATTTCTTTAAAAAGTGTATATAAAAAATATTTCATTTTTTTTTTACTGAATTTTAACCTTTTAAACAATTGTATAAATATCATGAATATTGATATAAAAAAGTGTATTGCCCAACCCAATAAACACACTTAAGTATTTTATGGCCTATGATGATGTGAAGTATATCAGATTATATATAATGGAATATATCCATATGCATCCAATAATGCCTTGAATCTTGTACTAGAAGTCATTTATCATTTAGTAGAAATACCTCACTCCATTCTGGGATGGAACCAGCAACCTTCTGAGTTCAAACCACAGTGTTAATGATGCATATGTCCTAATTACCCATGAGAGCTCTCCTCCGCGTACGGACCCCTACGCAGTCCGAGGTGCAAGGAGAGAACTTGGACCAGTTGGTGAGCTGGCAGTCGTCTCGGCACGGTAACTGGCAGGGCTGGCTCATAACCGGCATGCTGCTGGCAAACTTCAGACACTGAACCACATCAGCCACTGTACCATCCAGCTGCCTACACGAGATAGCTGTAGATCACACACACACAAACACAGCGCTGAGACTCCTGCTGATTAGCACCAGACACCAGAGAGAAAAGGTGCAGGTGAACAGAAGATGCTTATTTATAGAAATGACAAACGAGAGAGAGTCATGCTGTTCACTTTGATCAGAAACCAGTTTAAATTATGCATTACATTTCTGTAGTTTTTATATAATCCAATGATTTTTTTCCATCTGTTCTGGATTATTATTATTATTATTATTATTATAAGCACATTTTACAGAGATTCTTGCATACATAGAGTATTTCTGTGTAATTAGTATCCAGTAAGACAATATCTAGCCATATCTTTATTTTATAGCATAGCATAACCATTTATATTCACTGTAGAATTTTAAAATATATAAAAAGCTATGGGTCCTACTCGTCATGCTTGTCATGTGACACACAGCAAAATATATAAGTATGACTGATATAGGCTTATGTTTTGTTTTAGTTTTTTTATATTCCCAAACGTGTTAACTATATCATGAAATATCTTAATTCTCAAATATGTGTAAGTAAATGCATTTTGCGCCTTTATAGATTATGTTAGTTGATCAATAATGGGCGAGAGGCAAAGTAGCCTAATAGTGTAATCGATTAACTATGCATAAAAACTCTGGGTGTCATGCCATAAAATATTTTTAATATGACTGACTTTGCATTTAACGTGAATTTAATAAAAACATTGTAATTTACTAATTATAACACTTTCATTGTACAGAAAGAAAGCAAAGAACATTTACATTATCAAAGAACATTTTAAGCACTCTCAAAAACTCTTTTATTATAATCACTGAAGCTGTTCACACTGTGAAATGAATATCCTACAACGTAGCACATCTGCATTTTGTTGTGTCTGATGAGAGAATCGGCAGAGAGCAGAATTCCTTCAGTGAGCGAGTGAACAAAACACCGGCATTTCAGCGATGACTCATCGGAACGCCTCTGAATGCATTCATAAGCTCAACAGAATCGTGTGTGATTGGTTATAATGCTGTAAAAGCACAGTAAAAACGCATCTGTCTCTGGCTCAGCGCCAGCCAAAGCGCAAACGCAGATTTGAAATTAGCAGCTCTAATCACGCCGGTGTGATTGTATAAAATATATATGAAAAATTTATTTGGCTATTTTTTGTCTTTTGGAAGCTGCATTCAAAATCCACTTGGCTTAAAATGGGCATGATGCCTCTGCATACATTGAAAGTCATTGGTAAATAAAAGAGCTTTGTTACCAACAGTCTTCAAGATACCTTCTTTATGTTCCACAAAAGAAAATAAATAAATGACGACAGAATTTAAAAAATTTGGAGAACTATCCCTTTAATGTTTTTATTTTATTTATTTATTTATTTTTTAATGAAATGATACTCTGAATAAGAAACTAAATCTGCCAGCAGGTGGCGGTAAATGCTTTTATGATTTGTTCAAATGGCTGATTCATTCAGGAAAGAAGTAAACGGCTCTCTTTATGAATGGGTCTATGAATCATTGATTCACTCGATTCGTTCAAAACGCGGATTCATTCAGAAACTAAACACCGCTGTGCTGCTCTGAGACGCACAACAATCAAAGTCCTTTTAAGACAAGTCATGTCACTCGGCGGCCATCTTTGAAACGCCTCTCGGGCATGCAAGTGCAACTCCTATCTCTTTGAATGGGAAGACATCAAATTCTCCAAAACTGTTCACTAAGCTTACGATTAAATTTCATATTTGAAATCACCAATGAAATCTGACAACAACTGTGTCATAAATGTTGTTTCTTTTGCTCAAATAGTGTTATAAAAAGCGTATTTCTTAGGCTAGACCAGCCAGTGCGCATTCGCAGTCCTAAGTTTCTATAGCAACTGCGACTTCTAACGGCAGCTGCAGTGACGCGATGACTTTACTGATTAGTGATTGGCTCTTTTGCTCAGAAGGCGGGGCTTCGTTCGATACAGCGGCCATATTGTGTGTTGCATTTTTCCCCATTCAAAACTATACGAATGACAGGTCTTGGGTATTCTCAGAGCCGTTGTATTCTATAGTCTTTGACAAAGACCATCCCTCCTTAGTTACTGTTGCTATCCCCGACAAACAATGCCACTCTCACACTACACACATGTTCTCACGCAGTGAAAAATACATCACAGAGCAAAGAGGAAACTGACAACACACCAGCAGAGAAGTCAGAGCAGGTTACTTCTGGTATGAAACAAGGTTGATCTTTTTTTTAACCCCGTTTTAACATGGATTTCTATGGAGACCAGCCGTAGCTGTCGGGCAAGATGACGGATAGCAGTGGCGGCACATAATATCCGCGTTCTGATTGGTCAGATCGCCTGCCAATCAAGCTCTTTGGAAATGGTCTGGCTTTAAAGATAATATATTCTCAGCAAAATTGAGCAAAAACACATAATATTGTGTTTAAAATATAACACAATATCAACTTCTTATTTACTGAACTGTTGAAAAAAACAAAACACATTTAAACTCGTGATATTCGGGACAAACAGCACTAGTGTGATAGCTCTCCATGCTCATGTAATGTTAATCGATTATCATATGATATAAATATGAGACAAAAACACATACGGGGCATTTTTTGCAACAATATCTTGAATTTTAGGGCATAACTGTATTTACAGACTTGTTGCCCTGCATCATATTTCTCAACAGTCAACTATATGAAATGTAAGATGATGTACAGGTCTGGGGGCGGGGCCAGTGCGTTAACTGCGTTAAAATATTTGAATCGCGTTATTTTTTCATAACTAATTAAGTTAATGCGTTAAACTGACAGCCCTAATATATATATATATATATATATATATATATATATGTGTGTGATTTAAAATGCTGATAAAAAAATTTTTTTTATGTTAATCTTTTTTAATGTAATTATACTTATGTCCAATAATATTAATTTTCACTATAGAAGTTTTCATTACTTTTAATATTTTATTCATTTCCATAATTTTTCCGGGTGTAAAACTGAAATGTTTTTCTCTCCCCATGGTTTCTATATCTGTGCAAATCTGATAATAAAATTTCTTCAAAATAAAACGGGAAAGTACATTAAACTCACTGATACAGAAAAAAATAGACAATACAGAGAGCATTATGTACATTTATGTAAAATACAAAACAATATAATATAAAATAAAATAACACATTATTGCTAAAAATGTACTTTATATTATATTTATATTTATATTATCAGCTTTAAAAAGCATTTTTTTTTTATTAAAAATGATTAATTGTACTTAAATAATGTAATGATTAAATACTATATTAGGAACGGCTGGTACAAAATAAAATAAAATAAAATAAAATAAAATATATTTATTAGCTTAGTATTTGCACACTATTAAGCTTGTCACCATAACTCAGTTTAATCTATTAATAAACAGTTACAATATCTCACTTATGTGTTCAACATGAGTGGTTCAGAAAGCTACTACATCTGTAAAGGCAGGCCTGTTAAGCTGTTGTCATATTGGTGAAGCTGTGTAATCTATTAAGACGCCGTCACATTGGTAGTGACGTGAAGATGAGTAAACTTTAGGCCACTACAGAGTTCAATAGAGTGACAACGCCAACAGAACAACATCCTTCCGTACTGTCAAGAGCAATCAGATCAAGAGTTTGAAGGATTGCATCTGCTCCTGACATGCACTGAAGGGCAAATGTGAAGTCTAGTGTGATGGAAGCCCTTGTCAGAGCAGTATCTATACCAGGATAATACGTAATAAAGTCTTTCACGGCCTCAAGAGTGACAGGAATCCATAAAAGAACTGGACAAATAAAGAAAAGAGCACCTAAAAAAATGATGAAAACACTTTGTCAACTTCAACTGGAAAACTGAAAATAATAATAAATTTTTGAAAGCGACAGACTCTGAGGAATAAAGCAGAATGCAAACGAGAGAAAAGCAATCCACAGATACAAGAGGAGATCTTAGATCAGATATTATACCAAATTTATGGCTGTTGCATAAGATTTCACAGCTACAGAAACAGTATTTGGACAGTGTGGCCGGAAATCACTAAGAATAAATTGTGCACACTCTGCCTGAGTTGCTTTAGCATCCGATTAAAGGAATAATGCAAATACGCACAAATTCTGTGTAGAATGCATTTTGCGCACTGTAATTCTCGACTGCAGGCGGCTAGTGAATAAGACACAGGTTATGCAGGAATACTGTGTGTTTAGTGAATGTGAGTGTGTAACATGACAGCTGACGTACCTCTAGTTTGGACTCCAGCTCCACAGTTCTCCTGAGCTCCTTTACTGTCTCTGCGGATGCTCCACGGGACCAGCTGACATTTACGCCACTTGTGCGTTTTCCACCTGCAATTTCAAAGCGATATCATATTTACTGGTAGAGGTTGATCAGTTTCTGCACTGGAAATCCTAATTAGCTGCCTTAACTTGAAGAAATATCAGGAAACCCACTGTCTTGGAAAATGAACTCATTTGAATTAAGCTGCCCACAATCTGATAACATCTTTTCATCAGGATTAACCATTTCACTACCGAAAAGAGAAAAGCTGCATACAGGTTTTGAATGCTAAGCGGTTGAGCAAATGATGACAGAATCTTCATTCTGGGGTGAACTATTTCTACAAGTGAACATATCTTTATTTACTCGAGAAGGTCATTTTTAGCAAAAATCTATCCTGAATGTCAATAAATGTGAAATCCAGCACAGAATAGCTGATAGTGCAGAGGCAGTGCTCGTGGGTGAAGCTGTACCTATAACCCGGACAGACAGATGGAGTCGCACAGTCTTTCTCTTCATAAAGGGCGTCTGGACACTCCTGACCTCCATTAGCTGGCATCTGGATGATCACTCGATAGCGAAACTGTTTATTCTTCTGCCCATTCACACCTGTCGTTTTAAAAACGAATTTAATATCATGACAAATTATACTAGATAGATAGAGTCATTAGACATAACGAATGATGGGTAGACAGATATAACAATGGACAGAATGAACAATAGACAGATACAATGAACAAATCACAGATATAACAATTCAAACGATAGATGGATAGAACAAGATACAGATAGAACAATAGAAAGAATGACCAAATGACAGATAAAAATAGAACAAAAGATAAATGAATAAATATAAGGAATAATGGGTAGATAAATATAACGATAGATGTAACAAATGAACGATAGATAAATAGATGGATAGATAGACAGATAGAACAACTGACAGACAGACAGACAGACAGATAGACAGATAGATAGATAGATAGATAGACAGACAGATAGACAGACAGATAGATAGATAGATAGATAGATAGATAGATAGATAGATAGATAGACAGACAGACAGACAGACAGACAGACAGATAGATAGATAGATAGATAGATAGATAGATAGATAAAAAAATGACAAACAATGGATAGCAATGGAATGGACACTTCAATAGCGCACATTTCTCTAGGTTAACATTAGATTGAGTGGCCATGTAAAGTTGCTGCTACTTACATATTTCAGATGAAAAGTCATATTTTAGATCGATGAATGATAAGCGAGCATTTGGATGTCCTGTCCAATGTACTGTATTACCACAAAGACCAGCTGTTAACAATCTGTCTGTCACGGACTGCATAAGTTCGCCTGTGGATTTTTTTTTTCCTGCGACTAAAGAAAATTTGGTCGACCAAGCCTCTTCTGGTCGACTAACGGTTAGTCGACTATTAGGGGGCAGCCCTAAAAACAATAGATATAAGGATGGATGGATGGACAGATGTGGTGTACCTGCTTCACAGGAAGTGGGGCACTCTGTCCATTTACTGAAGTGTGTGACTATACAGTCTCTCTTGCAGGGCAGCAGACAGGGTCTCACTGACTCCGGCCGAGGGGCTTCAGGACATCTGAAACATCACAGACACTGAAAGATCAGCAGGACACTCAACACTCAAGAAAATCTATCTGACGCACATGTTTTTTTGATCACAGGAAGCAGGTGGATAAAGTACCTGCTTCACAGGAAGTGGGGCACTCTGTCCATTTACTGAAGTGTGTGACTATACAGTCTCTCTTGCAGGGCAGCAGACAGGGTCTCACTGACTCCGGCCGAGGGGCTTCAGGACATCTGAAACATCACACAGACACTGAAAGATCAGCAGGACACTCAACACTCAAGAAAATCTATCTGACGCACATGTTTTTTTGATCACAGGAAGCAGGTGGATAAAAAAAGCCCTGTGTCGCACTTTCACTGAAGACCCAATCACCTAAACAAGATTCATTATCAGACTTAACTACTGCAGGTCACCTGAGCACACATCAATTCAAACACTTTTACTTTACACCGGGCCAAAAAAGCTCTTCTAATGGATGTTTTATAGAATTATTTTTTTCCTCTGAGTAGCACTGACTGTTTTAGTCAAGGTTTTCACACCATTTTTTGCTCTTCCTCTCTGACCCTTTAAACGAAACAGGCCATTACTGCTGTTTTGAGAAACACTATCTTTGCATATGAAATGAGTAACAGCGCTGTGCTGCACACATAGTTCATCCAGTATACTTTTTTAACTGCTCCATCTTTCAATAACAACTTTTTTGTAAAGCATTACATTCACTGGTTTACAAAATAATCAGCACAGAAATGCACACTGCATCTCAGAAAACTAGAAAAACAGCATTAGAAGTCATTTTCGTGAATCAATTCAAACTTTCCACTTCAATGCGTTAAATTAACTCTCAGATTTAGTCTCCATATGGCATTTATTTGTGTATTAAGATTTAAGACCTTTTAAAGACCAAGTAAAGAAACTGTGAAGAATAAAAGGTAAATGTCTTCTATTAGCAACACGATAGTTTTCTGTTTCCTCAAAACATAAGGCTTGATATTTTTGCTCCCAACGTCTACAATATAGAAATATTTATTTTGTTCTGATCACACTGCAAAAACAACTGACATTCTATATCAGCATTTTTGTGTTGCTTTCCAATGCAAATGTCTAGAGATTCTTACAGTTTCTTTTATTCGCTTTGGTACTATTTTCACAAGCAACTGTTACATTTTCAGATCATCAAAAGTGCACTTTTTTCAAACATTTCAGCATATTTTCAATTGTCTTAGTACAATGCACACAATCACAAAGGGTTAGTGTAGGGGGATAGAATATACAGTTTGCACAGTATAAAACCCATTAATCCTATGGAATGTCACCATAATGATAGGAATACCTGTGTGTGTGTGTGTGTGTGTGTGTGTGTGTGTGTGTGCCTACCTAACCATATTTTGGAGACAAAGTGGTACCCAGAAATTAGAAAACTTGACAAAATCACCAAAAACCTCCCTTTGAGGACTTCCTCATTTGTAAAACTGTGTTGCATACAGCAGGATATAAGGGAGAGAAACTGATCAGAAATTGATCAAAGATGTATCAGAAGAAGGGAGACTGGTGGCATCAAATACAGCAATTTATGCCATGTGATAGAGGCATTGCATGGTAATGACTGCACATAACTCACCTTTCATCTGAAAAGTTCAGTTACAGTATAGATTTAGTCATATGTCATAATGCACTGACAGTAATGTCTGTTCTAGCACAAAACCTTATGGTCATGTCACACCTTCATCACACCTTTTGATACAGTGACACACTGTATAAATACTTTATGGATTCTATGTGTTATTCAAGCTAATGTAATATTTTCTAACATTACTGTAATTATATTCAGTGTTTTGAAACATGTATCTTGCATTGTTTGCTATTGAATGAACTGATTGTTAAAAAGTACTAAGTTGAAAGAAGATCTTACTGTTGTGTTTTGGTGATTAAACCAAACGTTCTCAATACATATCACAATGATCTTGTGTTCTGAAACAATGATTATGTGGAATGAATATATGAGCAACTACAATGAAAGCATGAGATCAGGTTTTGAAAGAATGACTACAAGTGTGATCAGTTTAAAGTTTTGAAAATGTACACCTTACTTATGAAAATAGTACCAAACCAATTAAAAAAAAACTGTAAATCAAGATTTACTTGAGAAGCAAAATTACATGAGTTATGAAGTCTGATTTATGGGAAATTGTTCAAAATGGAGTTATTGTTAAAACAAGAACAAATATATGCCAGTTTGCCAATTTTTACAGTATTTTACTTCTTTTAAGACAAAAAGTTAAATAGATAAATTAGTATAAAAATGTATTGTATCAAAAAATACATATTTAAAGTGATAGTTCCCCCAAAAATAATTGACTCACCCTCATGTCATTCCAAACTTGTATTATATTTATTTTTAATGCAGAAGAAGATATTTTAAGATATGTTGAGGTGGTCCAACCTGACTTTCATACTGTAGTATGGACAGATGAAAATAAAAATAAAATAAAGAAACTTAAAATATCTTGTTAATGGTGTTAGTTTTGGGGTGAACTTTCCTTTTCTGCCAACTCAAAGCACATGCATACTCTAAATATTGAGATGTATATCATCAAAAGACTGGAACATTTCAAGATGCATTTTTATAGCTATCCTAGTTTCAGCTTTATTGGTTTTAGTTTTATTGCCCAGCCCAACTCCACAATGGATTACATCAGAATCCTTGCAGAGCAAAGCTCAGCAGCATCTGTATCACAACAATGCTTATTTTTTTCCCAATCGTATTTTCCCTGCTCCACGGCTGCATTATGTACCAGCCAGAAGAGGCAGATAAGGCCTCACATCCTGTTACAGTAGTCAGTCACTGGGTAATACTCTTCTTTTATCACTGTTACAGCTCCTCAATTTAAGATCAGGGGTTAGCTTTAATCTGCTCCTGTATTTTAAGCACCGCTCCGGCTTGGTCGAATTCCCCGGGATAAAGATAAACAGGGATGCAGCAGTCCAGCAGAGGGACATTGGGTAATCTGATCTCTGATCAAATCCTCCGGGCTCCGGCGCGCTGGGATGCTAGCCGCCATGTGCTCCATGTTTCATGAGGGTTGCAAATCTGCCACAATATAATAAAGCAACAGATATGTAAGGCTGATTCATTCGTAATACCAATAAGAGAAGCTGTAAGTCCTACCAGAGAAACAAATCCGGTTTGGGTGTGCAGGGCTCTCCTGGAGATTGGGTAAATTTCTGACAGAGCATTAGCAACATTTCAAGACAGGCACTTGCTCAACTATTTAATGCCTAGCCTGCTACAACTGGTTAAGAGTGCAATATCACATAAGGAAATGACTGAAAATTAAAACTAAATTTGTTATTGTCGTGAACAGAAAGGATTAGAGGAATAAGGCGTGGTAATGTTCCAACAGCATCATTAAAAAAACAGCTCATACATTTAACCAAGAGGAAGAACAAATGCATCGTTCCCTTGCCCTCTCTAAGTTGTCATTATTTTTCAATTAGGATGAACTGTCATAACTAGCAGCGTGAAGTGAGGGATCACATTTCCTTGACGGTTTTACTGAAGTAGCTCATTAGAGTTTCTGGAAATACTATTATAACGCTGTCTGCGCATTGTTAATCACTTCTAATAGGATATTCCTTTAAAGTACAACTTTTTTGACCTGATAAGCAAATAAAACAACCAGAATTATCTTGGAAACACGTCATGCAAGTACAGCTCCTGTACTTCTTATATGGGGAAATAAAACGGTTTGCCACATCAAATCAGCAATAATATTCAACAACGAATCAATGTCTTCATCTTAAACGACATTTTTCTTTTAAAGTGGATCCAGTTAATGCATATGTTCATTCCAGTGTTATTTACATAATATTATTATTATATATAAACATACATTTTAATATTCTGAATTAGCTTTAGTTTTTATACCAATAACTACATTTCAGTTATATATAACTGAAATTCAGTCCATATATAATTTCAGTTTTAAATTTTGTTTAGGTTTTTATTAATTTGTTATGTTTGTTATTTATTTTTTATTTATTTTTATTTCAGTTTCAGTTTTAATTCTTCAACATAAGTTTCGTTTGGTTAGCAAATGCAGCATTTATAATTTGTTTTACATCTAATACTTATATTTTATTTCTGCTCTATTTCAATTACTGAAAATTAAGTATTAGTTTTTGTTAACAATAAAAAAACTCACACATTTTAAAGCTGCATGAGTGCAAATAATCCCCAAAAAATAAATTTCATAAAAATGCAAAATCTAATCTTGCTGCTGCTAAAATATCAAGTCTAACTGTCGAACATTTTCATTTTTTGAATTTGGTTTAAGTTTAGTTTGATTTCAGTTTTAGTTCCTCAAGAGAAGCTTATTTCAGTTAGCCAAAATAAAACTTATCCTTTATGTTTGTTTTTCATCTAATACTTATGTTTTATTTTATTTTCCCTTTATTACAATTACTGAAAATTATGTTTAGTTGACAATAAAAACAAATTAAATGCAATTTCATAAAAATGCAACATCTCATCTTGTTGCTGCTAAAAAATTATTGTGCCTGCCACTCAAACACAAGCAATCCATCTTCTTCTGAGCAATTCTCCATCACCACTAACCGAGACACTTGAGTTGAGGTATGATTCGTGCCATATGTGATTACATCATAATCACAGATGGTAATATTGCAACACGAAATGGCAAAACATTAAGATTACATTCATGTCATGAATATGTCCAGAATATTTCCAAAAGTACAAAGCAGAAATTATATTGTGTAAAAAGATTAATAAAGATTATCTTAGGACCAATTTAGGACCTACATTTTTTTGCGTGAGAATTAAGCATCACATTGTCATTATGCTAAAAAAACAATGCATTCTCATGACTGTAATGCAGAAAAATAAAATGATGCAGAAGTTTTATGGTACTGAATATTATTGTTTTGCACTGCCTTTACTTTAAAAATGATTTAATTTTGTAAATGTATCAGATTTAAATGAAAAAAGGAAAATGAAGAAATTTATATTTAATGAATAACACAAAAAGTAAATAAATAAATAAAGAAAGATGTATAACAATACACATTAAAATATATTTTAAAAAAATATATTTTTATTTATTAAAATGTATATACATATTTATTTTAAATAATTAATTTTATTTTAAATAAAGAAAATTAAGTCTGTAAATATATGTATAAAAAGTAATATACAGTACATATAAATAATGAAAAACTGAAAAAATACTAATTTTTATACATTCATACATGACACATTACAGTAATGGGAATTTGTCATGAAAATAATGCCACATTTCAAAATAAATAAAAATTACTCATTTCATTCACTTTTTATGTAGACTTCTTTTTTTTATGTAATATAACATTTTATTTCTTATGTACTTTTGACAATCTAAAAAAGATGCTCTGCCATATTAAGGAACTTCTCAACCATACGTACAATAACATATGACTTGCCCATGTTTACAAATGAACAGCTATCCAGTGTTCTGAAACTTGCAACATCTATTAACAACACCTCTGTGAAAAGGAAGTTGTTGAAGGATTATGCAATGTTAATTATATTGGAGCCGATAGCAAGTCCACAACCTGCCATATTGTTACTCATTTCACATGCAAAATGATTGAATCATAAGAAGTAATTTACATACAGAGTAGGGAAAACAAATAAAAATGGTCTTTAAAATGTACACGCAGACTTACTTTTTGGGCGGCACCTGTCCGACGTTGACTTTTACGCAGATGACCTTGCGCGTTTGCACGCCCATGGTGCAGGTGGACTTGTCTGCGCTGGAGGAGGTATTGAGGGTGGATGTGGTGGTGTCCTCCACGCACTGTCCCCAGGGGCCCGTCTGCCAGTGATACACGATGCAAGGATGCTCATTACAGTTCCGCACCTCCTGCAGGGCACTGGTGTTCGGACAGCTGGAACCTCCTGCAAGAGTGTGAAGACATGCATTTGGTCTGACACGTGTCTACACTTCATGTCACACTACCACAGCTCGAGGATCTCCACACTCAACTCAGGAGAAGAAAATAATAAATAACAACCAGAAATTCACTATGCTTCGGGTTCTTAGTTTTCTAAGAAGTCTCTTATTCTCATCAAGGTTGCATTTATTTGATTAAAAAAACTGCATATTATTAAAGTTTAAAATAATTTTTTTTTATTTTAATATAGTTTAAAATAGAATTTATTCCTGTGATGCAAAGCTGAATTTTCAGCATTTACATACAGAGTAGGGAAAACAAATAAAAATGGTCTTTAAAATGTACACGCAGACTTACTTTTTGGGCGGCACCTGTCCGACGTTGACTTTTACGCAGATGACCTTGCGCGTTTGCACGCCCATGGTGCAGGTGGACTTGTCTGCGCTGGAGGAGGTATTGAGGGTGGATGTGGTGGTGTCCTCCACGCACTGTCCCCAGGGGCCCGTCTGCCAGTGATACACGATGCAAGGATGCTCATTACAGTTCCGCACCTCCTGCAGGGCACTGGTGTTCGGACAGCTGGAACCTCCTGCAAGAGTGTGAAGACATGCATTTGGTCTGACACGTGTCTACACTTCATGTCACACTACCACAGCTCGAGGATCTCCACACTCAACTCAGGAGAAGAAAATAATAAATAACAACCAGAAATTCACTATGCTTCGGGTTCTTAGTTTTCTAAGAAGTCTCTTATTCTCATCAAGGTTGCATTTATTTGATTAAAAAAACTGCATATTATTAAAGTTTAAAATAATTTTTTTTTATTTTAATATAGTTTAAAATAGAATTTATTCCTGTGATGCAAAGCTGAATTTTCAGCATCATTACTCCAGTCTCAGTGTCACATGATCCTTCAGAAATCATTCTGATATACTGATATATAAAAAAAGTGATGTGACATGTGGCCAAGTATAGTGACCCATACTTGGAATTTAACCCATCCAAAGTGCACACACACAGCTGTGAACACACACACTGTGAACACACACCCAGAGCAGTGGGCAGCCATTTATGCTGCAGCACCCGGGGAGCAGTTGGGGGTTCAGTGCCTTGCTCAAGGGCACCTCAGTCGTGGTATTGAAGGTGGGAGACAGCGCTGTACATTCACTCCCCCCACCTACAATCCCTGCTGGTATGAGACTCGAACCCGTAACCTTTGGGTTATGAGTCCGACTCTCTAACCATTAGGCCACGACTTCCCCTTATCATCACTGTTGGAAACTGTTGTGCTGCTTAATATTTTGTTGGAACCTGTGATACATTTTTAAGGATTCTTTGACGAATAAAAAGTTAAAAAGAACAATTGAAAACTTAAAAATATATTGAAATTAAAAATTATTTTGTGTAGCAAATGCATATAAAAACATCTTTTCTTCCTAGGTTTTTTTTTTCTTGTTCTCTGGAGCGAGACAGGTCAAGTGTTCATTTTCTCAAATCTCAACATAACGCCGTCGTCTCCAGTTGCTTAAACTTGATTAAGATGAAACACTCCACATAATTGCCGCCTCCTAATTCCTCACGAGTGGCAGATAGTCGATGCAGCCAGCGGAGAGCGGCGCGGTGTGTCTAAATAATTGCTGACATTTACAGGTTTGCAGATGACAGAGCAGCCCAGTGGGCCTGTGAATCAAAGCGCTTTCATTCTCAGAGGACAGCAAGAGCTTTATGAGTGGAAGTGAACGAATATGTCCGACTGCTTTAGCTTTATAATGCACACAGTATAGTTATTGGATCTGACTGTCAGATCCATTAAACAGGTGATTATTGTGTTTATATTGGGCATCGAATTGAAGGGTAATAATAGGGTTTTTCACACTTTAAAATCTTGTAAGGCTGGCCAATAATATTGTCTCTGAACCGAATCATGCGTTGTATAATGAATTTGTACTGTTGCCATCCAACCGGCGGTATAAGGTCTCAAGATATAATCGAATTAGGTTAAAATATTCCTTTGTACACCAAGCTGTACTAGAGCTGAACAAGTTACACAAAATGAAATCTGTACCGGAGTTTTGAAAATGTATGTGTATATATACATATATATATATATATATATATATGTTATGTGTGTGTTTTTTTTTAATGTGATTATGAAAGTTTTGTCGGCCTGTTGTTCATGGGATAAAGTTTTGTAATTGTGAGTGAACCTGTTGTAACGCAAGACAAATTTCAGACCTTGTCTGACAATAAAGTTGTATCGTATTGTATGTATCATATCGTATTCTTCAGTTTAAGGCACTTTTGAGACTTTGAAAAATCAAACTTCTTTAACCCTGTTAAAACATTTATCACATGTCCTGAAAAAAGATTTGATCATGGCTTTGATGAGCCTTCAAGTATAATGTGGTCTCCAGGGTTATTATTATAAAGTAAAACTAATATGTGACACTGGAGCACAAAAGCAGTCTTAAGTCGCTGGGGTATATTTGTAGCAATAGCCAAAAATACATTGTATGGGTCAAAATGATAGATTTTTCTTTTATGCCAAAAATCATTAGGATATTAAGTAAAGATCATG